ATACAGTTTTTCACCGTATATAGGCTAGTAGCGGAATTTACCGTTAACCATTTAACAGGTTTTTACTGTAGCATTTTTACAGTCTTTTACCATTAAATTCACGGTAATTTTTTACAGTGTAGTAATTAAATATTCGCATAGTTATCCAAAGCTCTCAATATTTTGTTGTAGATCATTAAACCATTATGCTGCCATTCTGAGGTGCCTGCAAAAACTGCCTGCAAAAACAATGCTTGATAAGGCAGCGAGGCATCAAGTCAGCCGCCTACGCTTTTGGACACAGCCATCATAACCACGCACACTATAGAGTTCTGCAGTGATGACGGATTTCTGTTGGCCAGCCCGGAAGTTTGCATCACCCTGGTTCGCTTGACAAAAACACAATAGATTTATTGAGTATTGCAGAAAATATGCTCTTTGACCAGCAATAGCCTATGATAATTACATGTTTTTTCCCCCATCAAATTCATTTAACTTTTATTAATTTTGAAACTTAAATAGTTAAGAATTGCCCTGCAAATTCTTCACAACATCGGCGCTATACTTTCCTGTTTCTTGTGTCACATTGTGGATTTACTCTTCCACATTTCATATAAATGAAACTGCCTCCACCTTGCATCTCAGTTATCGATTGTAGCAAAATATGACCTCAGAGGACTTTAGTATTTAACTGTGATATTGTAACTATAAATGTATTTAAAATAGCAAATATTGTTACAGTGTTTGTCTACAGCCATCACTTTGTACGTTGTAGTGGATACATAACAGAAGCCTTTAGGTAATATACATTTTTAACCCTATCAAACTGTATTTAATGTAAGCCAGAATAATGGTCATTATCTCAAAATAAACCAGTACATTATCTCTTACAGCAGGTTTTAGTTGTGCGTGAACACAGCTGAAGAACAGTGTATTGTCTCCCCCCTTTGTCCATACTAAGAAACAACACTCTCTGTCTCGTTTTCTGTTTCTCTCACTCCTCTTTCCTTTTCATCTGCATCACAGGTTGTCTGTTCCTGTAAAGGTTGCAGCTTAGGAAAGCTTAGCCTATTCTGTGAATGACCTTTGCTTTTAATATGAATATTTCTCTGTCATTATTACTATCATATAGTAAAATCTATGCGCATGATCGGGCACAATAGATCTCCTTTTCATTAGTGCAGTAAAATGCCAGCCCAGGCAGTGTAAGGGACTTCCAGCCCAGTCAGATTATTCACTCCTCCGTCTTCCCTTGCTCCCTTAACCACCTCTTGACACTGAGAATTAATATGCGTGCAGTTCTGCTCTCTCTTCTCGCTGGAGTTCAATAGGCAACTTTATCAGGGGGAACATTATTGAGAGCTTTGCCGAGAGCTTCTTCATCACACTCATATCTGAGCCGGCCCAACACTTGTCACTGTCAATCACAAGGTGATAATACACTGAAGATTTCCTCATTTGGTTTAATAAAATCTCCGGGCTTATTTGAACTGCAGTCATTAAAGCAAATAATTGCTGCATTGAGGTGCTAGCCGGGCCATAGCCTAAGGGATAAGACAAGACTATTGCTGTGTGTGGGACTCGGATGATGCTTTTTCCCCCTCCTCTTTCCTCTCCCCAGTCGTGCATATTCCAACAATGAATATTGCATCTGAATCCAGCTCTGGCTTTTCTTATTCAAACTAACATTGTTATTACTTATTATCTAGACGTGAAGTCATTCGTTCTGCCTGCTTTATGGCTTTTGCTGTCGTGGCATATTTCACTGGGGGGCTGCCAATTGCCATTTTTAACTGTCATTTAAACCAAATTGCAGATCAGAATAAGCAGGCCCTTGGTGTCTCAGAGGAGACACAGAGTGATGGAGAGGATGAACACAGGATATTTTTCATTTGCAGTTTCGAACACAATGGCCTACTGAGTGTTTGCTTTTTGGGAAGTTTGGTACATTCATCAATACTAACAAAAAAGGACAAAACAACAACCCAGCCGGCCATTAGTGTTGCTTTTTCACTTCAAACAGCAGTCTAAGGAAGCAAAACCTTCTGAAAGCCATTGGAAATCCATTATTTATTATTATTAAGCCTTCAAAAAAGGCATTTTAAACAGGTCTTCCTGCTTATGCCACAGACCTCATTAGGTGAACTCATACATTACAAACCCCTAAGAGACAGTACCAGTGTTGCCTACAGAAAAATATACACAAATATTGCTATTACTATTTCATAGCAGAGCATATAAAACATTCAGCGTTGACGTGTTTTTACACAACATCAGCATGACATAAAAAGATCAGGTTGAAACCAGACTGTGCCATATTATTTTATTTGCTGAACAAAGCAAACAGTCATTTTCTATGCTGGCAACATTATTAACATATCCAGCTCAGGTAGGCCAGAGGATATTTGCATTTGAGGCCGAATACAATCACCTTTCTCATGTCCAACATTTACATTTTGGAAATGCCACTGGAATCCAGTCAAATTCATTCTGTCAATGAGTCAGTGACCTTGCTTTGTTTACTGGCTGCATCAAGAAACCACAGGCCAATTATTTTATTAGCGGACTGTGTTGAAAAACAAAATGGAATCAGATAATTAAACAATAATTAAGTCAATAATTAGCTTCCACTTTCAGCCCTGGACAATGTAATTTTCCTCAATTAGGTAAATCAGTGAAGCAGTAAATTAGTTTTTTCTTTCTCTCTATGTTCCTCGTAAATTATTATTAGGTATATCCCTCAAGAAATCAATCAATCAATCAAACATCAGGTGCCAAATTTTACCGCGCAATTACTCCAGAAGTCAACAGGAAAGCTACTGTAGCTAGGGCATCCATAAAACTGTCTATATGTAATCTACTATTGTGACCATGTAATGACATCATCATTGGCAGTCTTGATAATGACACTACTGGTTTCCAAAGCAAAAGCCTATGCCAGTGTTCCTCAAATCCGGTCCTGGAGGGCCACTGCCTGCAGAGTTTAGCTCAAACCCATGATCAAACTCACTTACCTGTGATTTTCTCTGGATCCTGAGGACCTTGAGGAGCTTGCTCAGGTGTGTTTGATTAGGGTTGAAGCTAAACTCTGCAGGGCATTGGCCCTCCAGGGCAAGATTTGAGGAACCCTGGCCTATGCACCTATTTAGAGAGGATTGAATTAGGCCAGGGGTGCTCAATCATGTTCCTGGAGATCTACCTGCCTGCAGAGTTCCGATCCAACCCTGATTCAACACACCTGTCTGTAATGCTCAAGCGCTCCTGAATATCTTAATTAGCTGGTTCATTTGTGTTTGATCAGGGTTGGAGCTGAACATTGCAGGACGGTAGATCTTCAGGAACAGGATTGGGCACCTCTGAAGGCAGTCAGTTGGGGAGATTGTTGAGGTACTCTGATAGCTAGTATTTGACTCCCTCTGTTGTCCTAAAGGGGACATTGCAAAATCAGTCAACCCACTTGCCAACCAGTGTACGCGGAAAATGTATTTACTTTATTCTAGAAAGCTGGGCACATGCAAGTGAAAGGCCAAGGATGCGTCATAAGATGGCCTATATCTCTAAACATTTCTTATGACTAAAAATGCGGAAGTTTTCTTATTTTACTATATGAAGAGAATTGATACGTTACAATATTTCTCCAGCAAACGGTTTAATAGCTCAGGAATATTTTAGGTTTTGGTTTTATAAAGACTAATATAAAAATAAAGAAACCTATAACATTCCTATTTTTATAAGAAGTGATTTGTTTTAAATTAAAGCAATGACTTTAAAAGGCACACTGAAGCTCGCAATAAACTGACCTCTTATTATGTATGAATAAATCTACCAATGAATCCGTTTAATTAATTCACATAAAAGCATGATTTAAAGGACTAATCCGAATTTGCTACCTTGGTTTGACATGATTAACAGGGAAATGCACCAATAGAGTGCACAGTGCGTCTCTATAAACCAATGACAGAACTCGAGCTCATCCCGTACCGTCCGTCAAAGGGGAGGGTGGATAGACTAATACATGTTTTCAAAAACGTGTGAAATGTCCTGAGTTTAGCAAGGTAAGTTTCTTAAAGTCCTTTCTAATTTAGAAGTGTTTACTAACGTTTAACGTAGCTATGCCCATGTATATCGTACTGTAAGATCAAATCCAAAACTCGCGTCCGTTAAAACGCTCAGCTCATAACTTGAGCTGACAACATAAGAAGCAAGTCTTTTGTCGGTCGATTTAAAACCACTTTCGCTGTAAACTTTGCGACTGATGTCATTCCCACACTATTATCCATCTAAAAAGATCGGTATGTGCCAAATATTTGCTGTCTAAACATTAACCTGGAGACATTTAACCTTGTGGATTGCTGTATTGTACGTTTGTTAGGGTGAAGGACTTGTCACTCACAATGAGAACCAATCACCGTCTTTCACTTGTGTTTATATCCCGCCTTTTCCTGTCAAGGTAGTTAGAGGCGTGTTCGATATTTGTGTGAGATTATTCGGACAACACGGTCGACGGTGGTTTAGTTAACCGTACAGAATAAAAAAAAACCCGTCTAAATCAAACTTTCACATTTGGACAAGTTACCGTGTAACATGTCTTCAGCCAGGTGACATTATTTGACTCCGGTAAGTGGAACCCCGTTAGTTATGGAGGTTTTGCTAAATAAAGGCTAGTCTACTCCAATTACAAATACCGTAACAGTAACGCAAACTCTGCTTTAAAAGCTGTGTTTTCACCTAGAGAACACTAAATTAAACGCTAAAATTTGCCTGCAGTGGGTGTCAGGTAGAAATGAAGGCAATATATTTGTCTTACGAGGAGTCAGAGCTTTTGTTTCTAGTTGAGGCGGTTCGTCCAGTGTCTCGGGCGTTGACATCTGTATTATCACTGTATTATATTACCACTGGATTTTCCCTCACCCTGGTTAAATGTTTATATGAACTATATGGAGAATTCTTCGGCCCTAGGTTAATGTATGTTAGATCTGGCTGTTCAAAACGTCAAAATATTGATGTCTGTAGAATTGTTTGCTCTTGTAGACGAGAGGTTTGGGGTCCATTAAACTTTTGAGAAGTCTTTTTATATATATGTATTAAAAAAAAAGTAAATGCATTTAAAGTTAATTTTTTTAATTAAAATAATTACAAAAAGAAAACAATGAGTATGTAACCTAATAGAAACTAAATATTTAGCAAATAATTTTACACATTTATAATATTGATTGTTCAGTATAAATTGGATCTTTATATATACAAATGCATTGCTGCCTTTTAAGTTTGAGTGGGGGTCTCTCAGGATGATAGTATTTGGGGGTCTGTGTCATCTAAAAGATTGAAAACTTCTATATTAGGCTGTAGGTCACTGAAGTTCTCACTAGCGCCAACAAAAACCTGGTTAGTGGGGATTGGATTGCCACCAGCTGCCATAAAGCATCAGGTTGCCTATTGTGTTTTCCAAATGTCCAGGCTCTCATCAGCACTTTTTCTTTCTCTTTCTCTCTCTCTCTCTTTCTCTCACAGCGAATTCTTCGGATGCCACCAAAAAGTGAACAAGCATACACCCATCCAGAGCTCAATGAGTAATGAACCCATTTTGGAGCATGTCGACAAACGCTGGTCGTAAGGTGAATTATGGCAGTCCACCAGTATGTCTTCTCATGAACACATTTGACCTCTCTTGATCCTATCCTTTATTTCTGGCCTATTAAACTAGCTCGTGGATCGGCTTGTGAGTCTGCTGAGATTGACAAAAGATTTCTCAGAGTTTCTTCTGTAAAAGCAGTACTTGTGATGCAAATGTATGAACTTGGTTGGCATAATAGTTTTAAAATGTGAGATGCTGTATGACATCGCTAAGCATATATAAACATCCCAGTGTCCTTTACCTGAAGTCTAAATGACTGTTCACAGAGTAATGTTTGCAACAGGTGACTGCAATAAGAAATCACATGGGAGGCTCAGGGTTTAAAGATGATTTTGCACAGCTCAGACTCTCTAAAGTCACAAGCTTTAGGGGTGGAGGACTTTTTATTACAGAGTGATGTAGGCTAGTCTCTCAATTCTGATTTGTTTTGAAATTACGGTTATAAACTCTTGCTAAAATCTAAGAATTGCAGTCAATTAGTGCTTTTGACTTGGCTCAGCAAAAGGAGTAACAGTTTTTGTTGTAAACTACAAAGTTGTTGTCCTGACATTGGTGTGGTGTGGCGTGGCATCACAGCTGTCAAAAAGGCGTTAAATTCAGCTGTTTCTTAATAGATGCTGCTGACTCATGAGTCATGACCCAACTGCTCTTTTTGATTTATGATAGACACTTCTTGGACTAGCTGTTAGTAAATTGTTTTGAAAGTGTATTTGACTGTATTCTGTGATATTCAGCTGTATTTTGTTGTAGTTGGCTTTATTACAGGCTGTGTGCTGAATAGCTGAATCCGTTTGCTGTTAGTTTTTCCTTTTAGGCCATTAAGCCTCAGGCCCCGGCCTCTACTGCTTATGAGTTTCTGGTGTCTGATTTTTACCTTCACAGTCCCTTGAAATATAGTCTCTCTCTGCTGATTTAAAGGCACTATGTAATTTTCGCCGCTAAAGGGCACATATTCAAAATAAACAAATAGACAAAGGCGTAGTTTGATGACCCCGTGAGTCGTGACTGAGTGTGGAATCATTGGAGTTGTCGTCTTCATCCCCACAGCCAATGCAATCCGACGGGGACTCGGGCAGAAATCATGTTCATGGATGAGCTAATGATTTCAAATAAAAGGCTTCAATAGATTTTAGAACCATTGAACATGTGTGATTTGTTTGTGTAGAGATCTGACGGTGAGGAGCAGGGTGGTCCAGGGGAGCAGAGATCCAGTCCAGCTCGTCCTCCATTTGGTAAAAAGCAGCTTCCCTCCATCCCAAAGAATGCCGCCCCCATCACTAAAGCCGCCTCACCGGCCTCCTCTACACAGTCTGCCAATGGCACGCATGCCTCATATGGCCCTTTCTACCTGGAGTACTCGCTGCTCGCGGAGTTGTGAGTTATGCTCTATTTTTATTTATTGGCTATTTATTTTATTTATTTATTGTAACTGTACAAAAGACCAGGTTCCACAGGCTTCCACAGGTTTTGGGCAATAACAGTTTTGATGGCTGTATAGTAGTGTTGAATAAATTAAGCTGTGATTTATAAAACACATCAAACCTGAGATTGAATAGATTTTTATGACTATATAACCAAGTTAAAAAACAAAATGCATCACATTTGTTATTCAGCAGTCGTCTCAGAGTTGTGTATCAACACCCTAAGTTTGTGCAGCATATTTTGAGGTGTATGTTTTAAATGGACAATTCTGACCATGTGTCTGTTGCAGCACATTGGTGATCAAGCAGAAGCTTCCTGGCATCTATGTTCAGCCTTCATACAGATCAGCACTAAGTAAGCATGTCTTCCTCTTCCACTCTCTTCTGTCTGTCACAGAATGCTCTTATGCTGCAATCCATTCAACTCCAAAAGAATTTCTAACTTCCTGCTTGGAAAAGTGCAACAGAATGTGCAGTCAATTAACTTCTATGAATGTGTCGGCATGGGGTTGCAATGTCACATGAATATGATGGCGTTCAGGGAGATGTGCATGATTAATGAAATGAAAGGATTGGCTTTTTTTTTCTTTTTCTTTATGTAGCTACCAAACATCGGACCACAGAAATCAATATGGTCGCAAGTCAGACATATAGAAAACTCCCACACCTGTTTTTGAATGGAGCACAGCATTAGTCATTGTGTTGTATCATTGTGCTTGTTTTGCATCATCAAATAGTTTAACTTATGAAATGATCAATGTTCAATAATTGAGCTGAAGAGTTAAATTGATTTGCTACATTGCTAATTTCTCTAAGTATCCATCAATGTCTTTTCTCTATTGCAGTGTGGTTTGGTGTGATTTTCATTCGACATGGCTTGTACCAAGATGGTGTGTTTAAGTTCACCGTCTACATTCCTGATAACTACCCAGATGGAGACTGTCCTGTAAGTATAATATACAATTTCCACACATCTTTCCACACATCAAGAATAAGGATTTGCTACGTGTATTCATTCTATCCATGACCCGCTGTGATGGCTCCCCACATTAGTTTGCTGGTTTTTCCTCTGTAGACTAATTTACAGTTATTGTAGAAGCTACACGCACCATGAATTAGGACTGTTTGAAATGTTAGACCATTAAACTTGAGCCCAGGTTTAACATGGTGATGGTTGGTTGGTTGGTTGCTATAAAACTTTTTCAAGGAAAAGGGACAAAGTAGAAAAGAACGTCTGTGCATAGCACCTTATGCATTTATATTTTATGATGAAGCTGGAGAATAGGAAACTTGCATACTTGTGGCTTTAAAATATCAAACCAAGATAGTGTATGCATGTTCTTGATATTTTGTTGATAAATGGAGAGAACTGCACCTCGATCCAGAGCTGTTATTGGAGTTATGATGCTGAAACAAGTGGTTCAAGTGGTTCTTTGTGCAATCTAAAATCAAGGAACTGATATAGAGGAAATAAGGGGCTTTCGCACAGTGTAGTTCTAGGAATTTCGTTCTAGGAACTAGCCAGCAGGATAGTTCCTAGAGAACCAATTTCTCCCTCGGGCCGTTTTCCTGGTTTCATTCGCACCGGCAGCAGGAATTCTGAATATGCTTTTTATAATGGAGATGCAAACGCACGATTTACGCGATTGCAAGAGCAAAAAGTTGGGCTTAGAGACAATTTTTTTTTTGACAACTTGCAGTGTTACATATCATCAAAGCTGAGAAAAAACACAACACTGCAGACAACAGGTAAATGCCGTTATCGCCGTTTTCCATGTTCGTGGAGTAAATGTTTACATGGCTTTTTAAAAATGCTGGGTGGCTGGTGTTTCACGTGCGTTTGGCCAATCAGCATACACTTGCGTCACTGATAGTTCCTATAGAACCGTTTTGGACCCTGCTCTGAAGTAGGAGCTAATTTAGTTCCTCCAAACGGAGTTCCTAGAGCTAAAACCGTTCCTAGTTCCTAGAACTAAAACCGTTCCTAGTTCCTAGAACTAAAACCGTTCCTAGTTCCTGCGGTGCGAACATGCCAAAAAGTGGGTAGTTCCACAATTAGTTCAGGTACTATGCAAAGGTTCCAGCGGTGCGAAAGTCCCTATACTTCCATTATACAACTTGAAGTTTTTATGTATTTATTTTAAATAACACTATATATGAACATTTACTGCCTGTGAGAATGTGATGCAGTATTATGTTTGCCATGTAAATGTCTGTAAAAAAAAAAAAAAAAATCTACACCGACAGTGATAAGTGACTTTTCTAGTAGAATTTTATTTCTACAAAAACTACAAATTTTCACCTCTGCAGGCTAATCAAGAGGCTGCTCACTGCAGAGCAAATGGGTGGAGCTTACGTCTTGCTCCCCCTCGGTAGATGTCCAGCAAGGAGGAGCGGATGTAATTTGTGCCTAATGGGTGGAGCTAGAATATCCAACCACACCCACACACTAACCCTACCCACAACTCTATCCCTTCACCCCCTTAGATGTCCAGAGAGGTGGAGCTGGAAGTCATTTGACTCTGCAGCGAGTACCACTTGGGCTAATCTGCTGCTTAAATTAGCCATAGTAAAGTCAGACTTTGCTGTAGTCTTTACAAGTTTCGTTGAAGTATTTCAACATTGTTTTCTTATTTTTAAATAAGTAATGGAAATGTCTATTGACTATAATAGCTATACTCAACTCTCAAACAACTGTGGGTTATGGAAACTAATTGTTCAAAAGGTTTGGGACACATAATTTTCACAATGGTCATGCCATCAGAAGGGCTGATCTGTTCTTTTGTCGCGTTTATGCATGTTTTTTTTCAGAGGGTCGTTTTTGACACCCCAGTTTTCCACCCACTAGTGGACCCGGTCTCTGGCGAGCTGGATGTGAGGAGAGCTTTCACCAAATGGAGGTCTGTTTAAAAAAACAAAACAAAAACTGCTGTTTTACTGTATTGCCCTTTACCTCCCTGGAATCTAAATTCGAAGGGGCTCAAGGTTGTTTTGGAAATATTTTAGTGCTGTCAAAATGAATGTGTTAATGCATACGATTGAATTTTTTTTCAGTTTAACGCATTTAAAAACATTCAACACAATTAACGTAGGGGCGGAACTAGGGTTGGCCACCCCACTCACAACTGCTGCTTCTATCTCCTTTTTTTTTTTTTTTTCTTGACAAGAATTGTATTTATTTGTCGTTTCTACATTAATTTGAATATTGAATACAAAATGATTGCAGTATAAAAAATATATTTGAGAACTTTAATGTTAGGTGTGATTAATCGCAATTAATTTCAGAAAAAAATTGTGATTGGTTATTTAATCGATTGACATTACTTATATTATATATAAGTAATGTCAATATATATATTGTTTACTATGTGACTATTGGAAAAGGATTATATTTATTTCAATTTATCTAAATTTGCAGGCGAAACCACAACCATATCTGGCAGGTCCTTATGTATGCCCGCACAATCTTCTATAAGATCAACACCATGGATCCGCTCAACCCAGAGGCTGCAGTGCTGTGAGTAATAGATTCATTTTTTTTTAAATGGTCTTGCTAGCACATACACTAAACGGTGACCGTCACTAAATAAGTGTCTAAATAAAAGTCACTGAAGTTGCTTTTGCTTCAGAGAAATGAAGTAACCACAATATCTCTCTCATGTGCTTAGGCATTGCCTGTGTTATTCTGAGGTTTTTGACTTCCTGTGCAGTTGAAGTCATGTAGCGCTTACAGGCTTAGTCCTATCTCACACCGTGTCTACACCAGACACGAACGGTGAGACCAAACAAAATACTATAGAACCCATTATAATCAGTGATGCTGTCTACACTGGATGTGGCACAACAACAAATCCCCGAGAGAAAACTGATGCCTCGTTCTATTTATGACGCACTGACACAAAATTCAAATGATTTGCAACAGTCGATTTGTTGCGTCCAGTGGAGATGGCCTCAAGCTTTTGCGGCACGGCACGACAACTGTTGCATCCGGTGTAGACATGGTGTCAGTCTTGACTTCACACAACAAGATGAAAGCTTGTTTAGCCTTTTTCCCCCCACATTTATTTCCTCTTAGTAGGGCTGCACGATTAATAGAAATTAAATCGCGGTTCGGCAGAAGCTGCGATTGTCATGCGTATCTTTCAGTGAAGCAAGGTTCTATGATCAGCAGTACATTTCCATCCAGAAGGCCAGAGGGTGCTCTCGCACTGAAACTCCAAATATGCAAATATGCCTTGCAGAAGATACCCTGGAAATGCCTATAGCGGTTGCTGAATAAACAGAAGATTTAAAGGGATAGTTCACCCAAAAATGAAAATGATGTTTATCTGCTTACCCCCAGGGCATCCAAGATGTAGGTGACTTTGTTTCTTGAGTAGAACACGTATTATGATTTTAAGTCGAGCCGTTG